TATCAAAGAAAGAAAAAAAAGCTCTCTGTTGAGTTGCAATGTAAAACACTGTGCCATATAAATTAAGATAATTCAAAAGCAGGACGAAGTTACAGCTTTGGAATCATTGTGGATTCATTATATATATATGTGTGTGTGTATATATATATATATACACACAATAACTAAATATAAATCATGTTTTTTTTTGTCATTGTTGTTTTTGTCACTGTTTATTTCCAGCTTCACTCAGTGTACATTTTCATCCTGCTTCTGTCAGTGTAGCTCAACAATATCATTTAAGTGATGAATAAGTTTGTCTAAGTTTGTGTGTGAACAAGTAGATGTACAAGTGTTGGTAAGAAAGCGCTTGGTCACTTTAAGGTGACGTTTCCATGGAGCACCGTCAGCAGTTTGTCTCATCCTGTTAAATATCCAATAATCTGTTGGAGGGATGGAACACAGTTTTGTCCAGACTTTCATCAATCTTAGAAAATAAACTTTGGTGACCACATGAAATATTTACTAATCACTAAAAGAAACAAATATTTTTATTTAATATTTCACACAAACTTTTCAATTGTTGACAACAACTCTCAACTGAAACTCTCACACTGACCTCAGATAAAACAAAATGAGCATTTAACCTGGACGTGGCAGCATGTTTAGCAGCAGAGAGAGTTCATTGTGGTTATATACAGCTTTCAGGGTTTGGTCAGTTCAAATGGATTTGGTTGGCCGTCTCTCTCAGCATCTGCTTTCTTTCAACAAACTTCAGATTCAGTTTTAGAAGTAAACTTTTGACAGCTTCATTACACACATTTTACCTTGTGAACCTTTTCTGGTGGTGTTATGTTTAAAAGCTAGACTTGCAGTCTGATTTCTACATTGATCTGAGCAGCAAAGAACCTGTATTTCTGCCACCATAAAGATGCTGCTTTATGTATTCACGTCAAATATTACATAAATAAACACATGGAAACCTGGTTGTAGTTTGGGTTGAGCGCTGGGCAGGCTGGCTTGACCAATCTGATAACAGTTTGCAGTCTGAAAAGCAGGAGAGAAAGAGGGTCAAAGGTTTAGAGAAGCAGTTTTGACAACTCATCAACAATAAATAAATCTGAGGAACATATTTATCACCTCCAGAGCTCCTGTTGTTGCCACTGACACCCTGCATGTGGTTCTCCACAAAAGAGAAAAACCGTCAACAACAAACCAGTCAACAACTTGGATCTTCTGGACTGCATGCAATGCGTTTCATTTAATGATGAACCTGCAGCCAGTTTAACAACTAAGGTGACAGGTTACATCAGCAGTAACTGAGTTTATATAATAAAATGCGAGCAAACATGCAAAATTCCTAATTTGAAATGTTGTCAAATCCTCATTTACGAGCACACAGGAGTTATGTCGTGCATTTTCTAGTCAATATTTGAACACAACCCAGTAATGTTGGAATTTAATCTGTATCTGGACAGAAATGTGTTTTATTCATTGTCCAATCTTTTGTCCCCCTTTTTTCTTTTTGTTATAGTTCAATTTCTAAACATTTTGTCATTGAATTCCATGAACTAACTCTCAAAAGCAATTTCTGGACTTCATTCCAATAATCCAATAATAGTGGAGCTGCACCTAATTTTAGAATTAAATTGA